AGGGGACGGCCAAGATTAACCTGGCGCAAACATATGGAAGGAGTCTGTTCCAGACTGCATTTGTCTTTTGTCGAAGCTCAGACTATGGCACAGGATCGGGAACGTGGAATCACTGTCTGACGCGTCTGCCTCCGCCACCTGAAAGGAGAAGCGGCGATGGAAAATGAAATGAATGAAGATTAAATAAATCGTTTTACTCATTCAGTTATTTCACGCTAACTGATTTGGAAAGTTTTGGAGTCAAAATACTGATTTATTTATTTTAAAGCAGTATGCAGAAGTCAGTCTGCAGTACAGCGGATTCTTACGGTTATTTTCAAAGTTGAATTGAACATCCCTACAGTAAAAAGTTTTTTATGCTCTTTGTTAAACAGTGTATTTGTTTTTTGCTATTTTATTTTTCGTTTTTAAGGTAGACCATGGACATATCTAACGTGATCTGGCAGTTTGTTTTGCTGTATTTTCGCAGGAGAAATTCGTCTGCTGTGTTGTAATCGCCTTATGTAACTTTCGAGGAAATAGCTGCGAAAGAGCTGCGCATTATTTCAGTAATGCACCAAGATTCGCAGACGAACATAGCTGCTGTGGCTTCGATCCATGTTCTTCGTCCCTTTGCTTATTATTCATATTTAATAACTTTGTTGATAATCTTAGTGAGCTTTCAATGCCTCAATGTGTACTTTTTTTCGTTTCCGGTTTTGTATTGCCCTATATAATACTATCTTGGATTTTTATAAGTATTCCGATTTTGGCTTTGTTGCTGTCTTTTTGGTGCTTGTCTGCTTTTTGTTCGTTTCTGTATACGTATCTGAGCTCACATCTATAGTTAATGATAATTTTTCATTTTTTCTTTATCCTAATATTACTGCATCGTGCAAGGTGCGTGTGATCGTCAGTTGTTGTCCTTGTATGTTGTTTTTTTACTTTTTACATTTTTATCGATAAACGTTTTCTGGTACGAATGGTGTGAGAATGTGAAATGAAGGTTACGAGCGAAGAAGATGTTTACATGGTGAAATTTTTGTGGTTGCAACTGGCTACTGCTCCATTGTATGGAAGTCGTCAGTCCTCTTTATTCTAAAAGGTTTGGCTTTAATATTGTTATTTTTTGAATAATGTGTTGTCGTTTACCAAAAGGATTAAAGTATTCGACGATTTCGAAGATTTGTTTCCAGCATTTTAGTTGCTTCACGCTGAATGCTGTACGGCATTCGTATTTCCTTTTGTTCGTTCTGTGATTGTCGATTTTGTCGTGAAAATTATTTACCGTACATCTGTCTTAAGCCTATCGCTTAGAACCGGAACCGACAAAGTAGATCGTAGGCGAACGTGGTGAGTGATTATGATTATGTTATCTCAGCAGTAGATTATAAGGCCTTGTTGGTTGTAAATACCATGTTGCCAATATAAATGACAGGCCGGTGGGAGCTGACGTCTTTGCTTCTGCAAAATCCACTCACCAGAAAGATATTCTGAAAATAAATGGCAAATTCGTAGATTTCGAGTTGCTTTCAGTGTCTATGCCTGAGAAGGGTATGGTAGGTTTTAGTGTCACTTATGATTTAAGTGGAAAACTACTTTGTACGTGTATATGAACTCAGTTAGCACTGTTAGCTTGTATTATGGTATAAAATATTTGTTGAAGTGCTCAAGTGAAGTCTTTACCTATTCAAATGTCCTCTTGGCCTTTATATTCAAAGATATATGATTTTACTGGTTGTAATGACTTTCATTTGTTTTTATACGCTAGCTGAAGTCAACTAGTCACCTTTGATCCGCTTTAAGCAAAAAGGTGATTAATGGCAACGGAAAGCGATGTTCTGCATCCATGGACAGAAAACGCCGAATTCTGTCTGCCGCCAGACTGCTTGAGAAGTGGGTGTTATATAATGCGTGCATAACTCTGAACGGAACTAATCCGCGGTAGATTTAGCGTGTGTTTTGGTGTGTAGCACTACCGGTAATTCGTTTATTATACGGCAAATGTGGGCGTAGAGATTTATCCTAGTTGTCGCTACGCATGATTGATTGAAAGGTTCTATGAGTTAACAGCTGTGACTGTTTTTGAAGTTCAAAAACTGACGGAATTGATACCCTTGATAAAGGATGGCTTGAAACGACTACGCGTTCCTGGCATTCAGATTTACCATTGTGTCGAGTTGAATTGAGTGTAAGTTCCGTTTACTTTTGGATGACTGTTCGCACCACCGCATGCATTCAGGCTGTAGGTATATTCTTTTGAAAGTGATTTCGGGGTTAGTTCAGTGTTTGTTCTCTGGTGTCGAAGCGCACAGCTACATCACGCCAAGAAGGTGTTGTATTGTTTTTCCCTAACGGAAGGAGGATCTAAAAACAATATTCTTGTAGCATTTGTCGGAAATTACCAAGAGATGGGAATTACATCGTTCGCACTTTCGACGATACGAAACTTCTGTAATTTCTGTCGCTATGCTTTCAGCGTCGCGTAGCGACTCGTTTGAATGGGTGGTAATTTTTTCATTGTTATGTTCAAGTTGCTTGACTTGCTTACATCTGCAATTTGTGCCTGAAAATATTGTAACCATTCTAACAAAAGATCGCTGGCC